TTAAAATAATTTAATAGTATGGTTTCAAATTTTGGCTTATGTTAATTTTCTCACTGGAAAAACTATTTTAAACTATTTATATCAGATAAATACTTTGTAGAATCAGTTTATCAGGGCTACTAACTATTAATCATTCATATTTTTAAAGTTTTAATTTAGTGAAAACTAACATCAATCAGTAACTTAATACTGAAATTATCTGTTGGGGAGGTTATCTCATGCATCCTATCCTTCGTAAAGACAAGCTTGTATTTGTAAATATAAATGCGTACATAAAATAAGGCTCCTTCTCTACAAGAAATCAAATAAACTAATAAGAACACAAACCTACCCATTAGGACCAAAGTATTTCAGTTTTAACACAGACTTTTCATAAGTCAAAACACAAATCTGTTCACGAAAACTAAAGAAACTATGTCAATTTTATCCTGACCTTTGTCGACCTGTTTCTGAAAACTTTCGTTTAAGGTTACATTCTGTTGATTTTTAACCTAAGAAAAACATGGTTCTAATATATCTTCCACTATTCACTATAATTTCAATTTTGAGGAAATCCAAACTAAGACTATGAAATTTGACCCTGGTCAGAGTCTTACTTTGGAACACTGATCAGATATGATTCAGTTACTCTAACCTAAATAACGACCACCTTGATTTACATCATCTCATACATATACATCTATGTGGGATGTTTTGAATGTAATCCTGGATGGATGGGAATAGAAAACTGCTGAAGATTCCCTCAAACCCACACTTTCAAACTGTTATGTATACTATAAATCTTATTTTATTTTCAAAGCAACAAGGAAAATTGGGTATCAAAATCCACACCTTAATCATTCCTTGAAAGGCTATATGAAGTATAGTTTTCAAGTTTCAAAACAGTGAAACTTAGTTCACCTCATATACACAAGTACGTATCTAATAATGTGAGAAGTAAACTTCACTTACAGAAAACTAAAGCTTTAATCTTAGAAAAACATTTTACTCATTACTTTTTTGCTTACCTTGTGGTAGAATACCATAAAGATTTAATTATATGCTAATTAAAATTCCTAATCTTGAGCAGTGCTATAAAAAGCTGTGGGTGATTACTTAATTGGCACTATCTTCCACAACTAATTTTAAAATACCTACCTTCTAAACCTTTTCATTTGTGTTTGTGTATGTGTGTGTGTGTGTGTATACATGTTTTCAAAAATACATTTTGTCATACAAGAAAAGACAAAAGGTGACTAAGATACTCTAATGAATTCCTATGGATTTTATCATCTGGTAGTCTCGAGGCCATGACAATGCAGCACAAGGTCATCAAAATGGCTTGTCTGAAAGACCATGACCTTTTTCTTGACGTTTTCATTACCAAAAATACCATCTCCAATTTCTACAGTGTTAGGTTATCCAACTGTCACTTAAACCAAGTTCAAGAACCAGAAGGTAAGCAAAAACACCTTAGGAGTAGCTAAATGTCACAAGTCAATTCACTAAATCTCACCTACTTTATTCATCATGAAAGTGCTCTCACTCACAAGCCTGTTTTCTTGTATTTGATATGCAATTCTATCACATTTGATCACCCATATCACAGAGACTAAAAGTAGCAGCAAATGACAGGGGAAAGACCACTAGACCAAGGCACACGACAGCAAAAAGAAATGGCAGAAACCCAGGACTAAATTGTGTGTTCCACTGCAGTAGCATCCCTGATCCTTGGTATTCAGGTGTAATTATTTCCCCCTTTCTGCTGTATCACTGACATTTTTGTATTTTACAGTTGTTTTTAAATTTTATGGTTTTGTTACATCTACGTCCTTTATCATAAACTAACAAATTCTTTCCGCTGGAACTAGAGGAGGTGTTTAAAAAGTGATAGCTAACAGCCTGGTAATTGAGGAATAGGAAAGAGAAAGTATTGAAAAAAATCAACACAATACTGGAAGAGTCTGGGAGGTAGTTACTTAATTGAGGGGTAACAACTTGCTGGATCTCAATTGCCTTTGTGTCACTGTCAGAGTACAATAACTGATCGTCCTGGGGAAAAAGCTAAATTGCACCGTTAGTACTCCATTTAAAGACTCAAGGGTGTATGTGTATATTTAGATTTTAAAGGAAAATTAAAAATAAAAAGATGTAGTGACTAAATCAGTAAACTTCAGATATCCAAGAAGTTCCCGCCATGGAGCACCTCATATCCCTATCCCGAGTGGACAAATGAATTACTGTTAGGGCAATTTCTGATGAGGTTATAAGAGTTCATGAATATTTGGGTATCAATTCAGTGATTATACAGTTTTTTTATTGGTCTCCAGTTTTTTCGCAATTCAAAAAATGTATACAATCTGGAAATTCAACAACCTTTATTGCCATACAAAAGACAGCTTAGCACTTACATTTGCCAAGTCTAGGGGAAAAAAAGGCACCTAGACACATTTCTTAATTTCCCAACATTTGATTTATATTGATATTTAGTATTTGGCCCCACTTTAATTATCAACATTGTCTTACTGATCCAACTACCGCATATATCTTAAAATGTGTGTTTGCTATGGTTTCAGTTTGCACTACAATTGTCTGTTTAGTCAACCTTGTAACAGTAAAATATGTCACTTGAGCAACTGAATTTAAAATTACTCTTCTAATTCAAGGCAAAACGTGTTAATTTCCCTCAAAAGCTTTTCATACGGTGGTATAGTATCATATAATGATTCAGACAAAGCCACTTGAGATCTCCAAAGCATAATTTTAATTACCCACCTTTCCTAAGTTGTGATATGTTTATTAATAAACGGAAAAATCCACCCATAAACGATCCATTCTGCAATTTTATTATGCATCAAAAATTCTTATACCCATGCCATTCTTTTAATCCCAATTTTAGTTTTATGTGCATGTCTCAGTCCATATGAAATATGTCTTATGAAGAGAATATTTTCTGGATTTGGCTTTAATAGGTGCCAGAGCGGTCCCCCTTACGTTAGCAGCAACTCATCCCGGCGAGGCTGAGTTTTAAAAAAATTAAAAAAAAAAAAAAAAAAACCTGCACGTGTCCAGGAACCAGCAGCGCCCACTAGGAGAGGGAGGCGGAAGCCTGGAAGGCTTGGGGCCGGATTGAGGGACCATTTGGGTGGCCTTGGAGTGAAACCCTATACCGTCGGGGGCGGGGCAGGAGAGGGTGAGGGTGCAGACGTTGGAAATTTTCCTACACCAGCCTCCACGGTTCCTTAGTTTGGGGTTTGGATTGGGGGGGTACAACAGACAGAGCTCGTTTTCTCGGGTGACATCCCCGCCTCAGGAGGCGGGGTTCAAACGAACAAGGGATGATTTTTTTGTGCCATCCAAAAGATTCATACTGCCAATCAGAGAAATAAATGTCTTCCCTAACATCCTCCACCCCCAAGCGCTACTAACACCTTGAAATTCAAATTACAAAAATAAGCCCAGGCAAAAGCCATTTAGCGCGAGTGTGGGATTGAAGGGCCCAGATTTCCCAGGCAGAGGCCGACGGGAAGGGGGGGAGAAGGAGCGAGAGGAGAGGGAGAGGCGGAGGCTTTTTCCTGCACGGCCCCATCCCCCACCCCATTACCCCAGTTCCGGGAAGGTGGAGGGGGCCAGGGGCTGTCGAGGGGCTCCGAAGCCCCCGAGCCCAGGGATAACGGGCACCCCTTCACCCGGCGCCGCGCCCGCCCGCGCCCCAGCCCCGCCCCCGTCCTCCAGGCGGCGAGAAGGAAAGGGGGAGGGGAGCGAATGCCAGACTGCTCCGCCACCCCAGCCCCCGCGCGCCGCGGCCCCCATCCCTGCAGAGCTCCGCGGGTACCTGTCGGCGCCGAAAGGTCAGGGTCTGGGCCCCTCAGAGGGGCCAAGCACAGGATTTGTCCACCACACACACGCCCCCTTCCTATTTACCTCCTTCTTCTTCTCGCCCTTCTCCGTGGCCGCGGTGGCTTCGGTGGCCGTGGCGGCCGCTCCCTCCTCCTTAGAGGTGGACGGCCCCGGCTCATCGTCCTCTATGACTACGATTGTGGCGGTCGCATCAGCCGCTGCCACGGTGGCTGCCACTGCGGCGGTGTCCGGCTCCATGGCGTTGGAGCGGGAACAAGGAGGGGGACAAGAAAGGGGACAAGGGCTCCTGGGCGGCGGCAGTGGCTGCACTGGAAAGAGCTAGATGGAGCAGGGGTGAGAAATCACTCCGCTTCCAACCCCTCCGCTCGGCACCCCCCTTCTTTAAATAACCCTCAACCCTGCCCCACTTCCGTCCACCCACCCTACGTCATGGCCTCCCCCCTCACCCTCCCCCCTTCCTCCACCCCCCCTCAACGATCGCGAGACTCCCCCTCCCCACCCAGAGCCCGGGCCGCCCCGCACGACCAACTGTTGCCTGAGTGTGGGGCGCGGAGAGGGGTGGAGGCGGGAACCCACAACCCACAACCCGCAACCCGAGTCCGGGTAAAAACCTCGTTTCCCACACGCCCCCAACAGTGAGCCCGAGCTCCCCTCGCACATGTGTGCAGAAAGAATCCTCTTTCCCTTAAATCTGCTCTTTGTACCTCTGGGCGCTCTCCCCTCCTTGCACAAAGAACTTTTCCTCTGCTTATAATTGTACTGTAGAAGGTCTTTCTCACCATTTGCAAAGCCCAGAACCTGTCTGGGGACTGCCCTTTCTCAGGTCCCTAAAAGGATCGGTTTGGTGGTGCTATTCCCACTTTCCTAAATTCTACAGGAGGAATTATCTTCAGCTGAATCTCCTTGAAGCTCTTGATTGCAACTGCAATCACTTACAAGGCAAAGTCTTACTCTTGAGTTCTATGTATATTTGTTCTGTTTTCAACTTTGGTACCTCTCAGTTGGCCAATGTGCAGTAGCCCTTCTTTTGCTTTCACCACTGAATTTTAAAACTCCTGGGGGACAAGTTCAAGGTCCCTCACAGAACCTAGAGCAACACAAGTAGGTGCCCATTATTACTAATTGGGTCGAATTACTGTGATTTTTTGGTGCATGTTATATTAGCACGCCCATTATTATTTGGTAGTAATTCAACACCAATAATATGCATGCATGGTCGTGGATATAAAAGCATTTTGTGAGCTGGTCCATATGTTTACGTGGTCAACATAGTCCATCACTGGACCAATGGATAAAGAAAATGTGGCATATATACACAGTGGAATGCTATTTGACCATAAAAAGGAATGAAATCATGTTATTTTCAGCAACATAGATGGAACTGGAGGTTATTATGTTAAGTGAAATGAACTGGGCACAGAAAGACAAATATCAGGTGTTCTCACTCATATATGAGAGCTAATAAAGTGGTTCTCGTGGAGGTAGAGAGTAGAATGATAAATACCAGAGGCTGGGAAGGGGAGTGGGAGATAAAAAGAGGTTGGTTAATGGGTATGAACATACAGTTAGAAGGAATAAGTTTTAATGTTTGATAGTAGAGTAGGGTGACTGTAGTTAACAAACTATAGTTAGAAGAGAGGACTTGAGATGTTTCCAACACATAGAAATGATAAATACACCAGATGATGGATATCCTAAATACCCTGACTTCATCATTACACATTCTATGCATGCAAAAAAATATCACACATACCCCATAAATGTGTACAAATATTATGCATCAATAAAAAAGCAGCATGCTTAGATTTAACTTTAAACCTGCATATGTGAATTCATCATGAGGACTGATGGAGACAAAAAAGAAACATGTTGGAATAACATGTTCTCAACTCTTGCTTACAAAGTTCTTTTTTAAACACTTACATTCACTGAAAGAAAACAGCATATAATGTACCTTTAAACAAGCATGCTTAGATTTACCAAAAAAAAGCATTTTGTAAAGGGTGTAAAGTATGCAAATATAATTATTAAATATCATTGCTTCTATTTCTCCTCACCATTTATTTTGATCAATAATGGGAAGATTTACATCCTAGACTTTAAACTTCAGTCATTAGGGACAAGAGATAACAAAACATACAGAAAACATACCAAACAACAACCACACAGCCTATAATTTCCAAAATGAAGCAAATACTTTCCAAATTGAAAAGAAGTCATGATTAGTTTCCCTCAGCATACTTACTTAAAATACCAATCTGAAATGAGGTGTGATTTCTGCAAATAGCACACGGTTGCCCCCCCCAAATATATCTCTTTTTGCCAGTGGTAGTACCCTAAATCCCTTTTTGCTTTAAAGCTATGAATCCTTAACATGCAAAAACCTTGTGACCTTTTAGCTAGTATTAGTCATGTACATCTTAGCGTGAAGAAGTATGCATTCCTGTCCAGGGACTGGCTTTAAAAGAGAAAAAGAGACAACCAGACACTGGTGAGTGAAGGGGTGTGCCAATGAGACAGGAAAGGAGAGGTTGGTGGGGCTAGTTTTGTTCTAATTTTACGTTCATTATGTTCTTCTCATTTACTTTAGATTTTTCCCCCGGTGCCCATGTTTCTTGTCCTCAAGTACACGTGTACTATCTAAAGGGTATGGGGAGTCTCAGTACAAAAACGGCTTGTTCTCTTCTGAGGGAGGACATGAGGGTAAAATAAATAAATACATACATACATACGTACATTTTAAAAATGGCTTGTATTTCTGGACCATTAACTTTAATAAAAAATGAGATGGAATTAAGTCACTTACATGACCAATTGAAATAGGATTTTTTTCTGTTAAAATATCTAGATGTATTAAGGAATGAACTGCAGAATCTGAAGTGTCTCCAAAGAGAAGCTTGAGACTTCCAGTAAAGATCCTACCCCTTTCCCACTACCTGTACAATCAATCTCCTCACTTATTAAGCATTCGTTCTTTGGTAGGAAAATTCAAGAAGCACTGAAAGAGAAGGATACTGCGGTACATGTATCCATCTGTCTTGAGAAGGACCCTCTCGGGCAGTGGAGGATTTCTTTTTCACTAAACTGCAGCTATGGGAAGAGAAAATTCCACTTTTATTGCTTGGAGCTTCAAAGAAGAAAGGCTCAAGAAATATTTGTTGTGTATTGATGTGTTCCTGCTTGCAAGCGTACTTTGTTCTATTGTATTTGTCATTGTCCGTGTACATTATTTCAGTTACCTAGTGGGTTAAATACACTTTCGTGAGGAAATCTGGGAAACTCACATTCCTTTATAACACCTTTTCTTTAGAAATATGTGTTCCATGTTCCAAAAAAAAAGAATATAAAAATTGATTTGGGGGACAGAACATATTTGTACGTTGGCAATTTTCAATGTATGTATAATGTGACCCTTCCTTTTCAAGATGACAAGGCTGAAAGCACTACCAAGTATATGAATTTGGCTGGAAAAGTCAATGCTTGGTCAATAGACCTTGCCACAGGATTCATGTAAATACTGCCCTTTGGCTTGTGGCAATAGCTGCTGTTTACAAAGCATGTGCTATCCTTATTTGTCAATCTGCCTAAACTTCATGATCTGTAGACTTTGTTCAACAAGAGTCACCTCATTTCTGAGCCTACTCAACACCTTGTTCTATCTGCTCCTGTCTACTACTACTTTCTCCCGTTCTTTCATTTGAAATGGTCTTTTATTGCCCTACTCCATTGGGGTTGGGGAATAAAGCAAACTTTTATAAAGAACCTTGGGGCCATATCTGGGAACCTCAAAATTGATCTCAGCCTACTAATCAATATGTACATTTTGGCAGATTATAGAGGTTGTCTAATAGTTGTTTTTGCATAGCTAAATTCATTTAGTAGCTACCAAAATACGTGCCCAATGGTGGCATTAGACACTTTTATATTTATAAAGTTCATAATGGCAAGGCCAAGGACTTGGCGTTCCCTATCTTATACTGTATCTGAAATTCGTTATTGAAACCAAGACGTAACTTAAAACCACATTGTGATCCCACTAATCAATGTTCTGCAGAAGCTAGTACAAAGGATTCTAGTGACACTATCTTGCTTACAGCTACCGTAACAATTTAGTTCATATCAGCAATCTTTCCCACCATTTTTCTTAAAGACATTTATGATCATGGCATTTTTGAAAATGTGATATTTCCTTGGAGTTCTGTATGTTAAGGAAAATGTTATGGTAATAGCTAATGTATGGCTACCATTTCTTGAACAACCACTATTATATCAGTCTCTTTACATATGATAATGCTAATCCTCCTGATAATTCCATGAAATAAATATTATCTCTATTTTACAGATGAGAAAACAGAGACTTAGAGAGGCTAAATAACCCATCTGAGGTTCCACAGCTACTAAATGACAGAAGCCAGATTCAAATCCCAGACTATCTGGCTCCAAACCTCATTTTTCCACCTCATCCTTATTAAGTTCTCTGTTCTTCACAGGGCTTCCTCCTTAACAGTAGAAATCATCTTGACAAAATAAGTGAAAAATATTTCTGCCATCTGTCTCCATGGTGTTCCCTCTGAAGTAAATTCTCAGAACAGTAAATGGGACTCAGGACAGTTAGTTAGGGAGAACCTAACAGAAACGAGTTAGGTGTCCGAGAAGAAGGGATTGGCAAAACCTTGTACAGTACATTCATAAATGGAATATTATGCAAGCATTATGAATGATTATGTAAATAGATATCTGTTGACATGGAAATATTCTCCTAACATATTATAGAGTGAAAAAGATAGTCAAAAAATGGAATGTTCCAACTTCTGCCGAAAAAACCCCCATTCTATTTACACAAATGTATTTCCACAAAGGATAAAGCCCAGAAGAGTCTACTGCAAATATTTACCAATAGTTACAGCAAGATAGTGGGATTAGGGTGTTTTCTTTCTGATTTTTGTTTTTTATTACTTCTAGTTTTCCTCAATGAAGGCATTTCCTTATATAATACATAAATAACATCTTAAAAGATGAATCAAAAAATACTGCTCAAAACTAGACAAGTTGGAACAATCTCTAACCGAAGGAGTATGAGCTAGTAGATAGGGAGAGTCAAAAAAAGAATAATTTTACACTGAAGAAACAATGCAGTAGTAATACATAATGTAACAGAAGCAATATGATTATTATGCCATTTACTGATTATTACACTGATTATTATACTGTTTACAATAATGTCACCTGGTTGAAGAACCGTTTTCAACATTATTGTTTTAAGTTGTATATAAAAGGATTTTCCACTTTGAAATATTATCATGCAAAACCAAGCTCTAGAAAAAAATATGAGA